TAATCTATATATGTCTTTGTATAATGCATTCAGATCCGTCCTACTGTTAATTTTACTAATATTATAAATCGGAAAGTGAGTTTGTTTGTTTGTTCCGCTTTCACGCCGTAACTACTAAACCGATTGCTTTGAATTTTTGCAGATGTACAGTTAGAAGTCTGGATTAAATAATACGGTACTTTTTATCCCGGAAAAATTTGATATTATCGAGGGAAAACGAAATTATATGTATAGATGGCGCTGTGTGTATAGGTATATGTCATATAAGCTACTTTTTATCCTTTTGTGACGCAAACGAAGCCGCGGGTAAAAGCTAATATGTATTTTATAAATATTAGTAGAAACGATGATGAGAACCTAAATCGCTGCCCATCCCGCTGTTAGAATATCATAACATCTTTCAAATACCCTTCCATTATTATGATTGGAAGTGAAATTAAAATAAATGTTCAAAACTAAACATCTAGGTTTCGTGTTCTGTTTAATTATATCTAGGTTCTAGTGAACATGCAACGGTTTAGCTAGACCTAGGACAGAGGTTCTCAAAGTTCAATCGATGGTAGGACTATCGATGTAACTTAGTGTGATCTTTTATTAAAATGCTACTGTTTAAAACATGCTCCAAGACGTATGTACCACCTTTTTCGTTTCCATCAATTCGTCAATTATTTGAAATTGAATTAAAATAATAGGGATAATGACAGGGTATGAAAATTAAAAATCTACTTAGTCCGTCTGTTAGGTAACGATACATATTTTCTTAGACACGTATTTTTTTATTTTGATAATAAAATGATAATTAGATATAACGAATCAAAGTTTAGGAGTGGGGGCTAAAATGTCATTTCTACGTATGAAATGTACATAGAAGTAACGTCATGCGACATTTCAAATCAATATATCGTCGAAAACATTCGTTTCTTTTAAAAAATAAAAAATACGTGTATACTGTTTTAAAATAATCTACGAGACGGACATTAACCTATTATCAACAATCCACTATTAGTGCTCGACTATGAGCCTACTCTTACAGAAAGGGTTTGTTACAGTCTAAATCAAATTAGTGTAGTTTAACCTTCCACACTTGACAGGCTGATTATAAAGAGCGCAGTTTAGTTTTTCAAACATTTACTCAATAATACCACAGCCTCGCAGAAAACTGACGTGGAACAACGTTCGTCGCATGAGTGAGGTTACCGGAGGCCCTGTTACCCCCTCTCCAGTCTCCCTAATCCCTGAATCCCAAACAGTTCTCAAATTCCCAATCCCCAAAAGGCCGATAACGCAATTGTAACTCCTCCGGTGTTTCGGGTGCCCATACTCAACGCCGATTGCTACCACCAGGTGATCCGTCAGCTCGTTTACCGGCTTATGCCATAAAAAATTTTTATATTATTTAAGGAAACCTACTCTTTCATTTTATAAACACCTTTTTGAAAATGAATAGAAATTCCGTTACTTAAAACTTTTGAGAACCACATCCCAAACTAACAAACTTCGTGTGAGCACGACTGAACCGGCTTAACAGGAGATAACTGCCTTCAATTGTCACGCTCAACCTGGGTGGAGAGACGAGTAGTGCACGATTGTGTGGAGACTGCACTGAGTGGAGATACAGAAAGCTTTGTGGGCCTGATTGATTGATTCCATTCTAGGGAGTATTCATAACATCACGCCTTTTATCCTCGAAGGGGTAGACAGAGGTGCACATTATGCCACTGTACAATATAACACCCGCTTTTCACTATTTATGTTATGAGTCCCATGTAATAGGAGGTGAGCCTATTGCCATATACCGGACACAATTCCAGACTCCGTGCTACTACTGCGAATTTTTAAAAACCCCAGTAATACTTTGCCCGGCAGTCGCCCTGCGACCACTGGGCGGACGAGGCAGTCTAGAGAGTATTCGTAGTATTTATTAGTAGTTAGTATTAGTTATTCTTACAAGTTAAAGTGTCAAGGTCATTACATAGGTACCTTTTTCTGTTGACGGAGGGAAACCAAAAGGCGTCTAGCTTTTTGGGGAAAAACACTGGAACGTGTGTACTGTAACGTTATACGATATTTGGTCACATGGACACAAATAACAGTTACAGCACATATTTCCTAATGATATTCAGCTACTAGACTAGCACTGAATTAAAATCGAAACGTGTTCCATACCCAAGACTCGAACTGAAATACCTAGTTACTTAACATTACCCTTTTTCTATTCCAGATGTGGCTCTCCAGCATCGTATCTTCAACCCTGTTCGTGATGGCGATGTCAGCAGGCAACGAGTACCTCCCTCCCAGCAAGGGTTACAACTACGAACCTCCTTCAATTCCATTCCCCACCAATAATAATGGAAACAAGGTAAAATTATTCACCATTTTTTACCGGACTGCGTCAAATAGGGTTATTGAAAATATGGATTTTTTGACGTCTTTGATCGAGAGTCGCAAATATCTTCAATTCAATTTCCAGATGGGGCTAAGTATAATTGAGATCGTACAGTACCTACCTATATTATTTTTTTGAAGTGTCAGCATTGACTGAATGCCTTGCTATCTCCCAAAGTGATATATAAAACATAACTAACCATTTTGAATAACCAAAAATCTCAAATATATTAAGTTTTACATAAAAAGTTTGTTCGTATTTTAGGCTCAAGAGACATGATCTTGAATATGATGGGAAATGTAATATAACTATATCATTTTAAATAAGCAACAATGGACCAAATACCTACAACAATGCCTTAACTTTTTCAGCAACCAACCCCACCGACCATCAGGCCGAACCCGACGCCTCAGAGGCCGTACCTCCCACCTGTGCAGCCTACTCCAGGCCCAGGACCCGCGCCGACTCCAGGAGTAAGTACCTTTTCCTTTTTGTAAAAGACTTAGTTAGTGTTACATCATTGGACATTTAATTTTTAACAGTACTGCTACAGTGATCAGACAAACTGACATCTTGCTAAATTATCGACATCTGTTTCTAAACCGTAACCCCCACTGAGGAGTTCCTCGCTTATTCTTCTACATTTTGGGACGAGTACCTAACTTCACTGACGAACAGACTGACAGAGTATTATTTATTATGTATTCGTTGACGTTTCAAAGGACCAAATTATGGTTTAATTGAAATAAATGCTTTGACTTTGATTTTGAAGTGGGTAATAAAAGACATACAAAATTAAATAATGTAATTTATTGAATTATTCATCATCGACGTAATGAAGCGGCATTGGTCCAGGACTTGGCTTCAAGTACTGCATAGTTATATCTTTATTTGTGTCATTTTCATCTGAAAACATATCTCATATAAATATATAAGTTTATAATTAACTGCCTGACTGCCTCGCTGGCCGAGTGGTCGCAAGTGCGACTGCCGGGCAAGGGCCTCGGGTTCGATTCCCGGGTTGGGCAAAGTATTACTGGGTTTTAAAAAAATTCTCAGTAGTAGCACGGAGTCTGGAATTGTGCCCGGTATATGGCAATAGGCTCACCCTCTATGACATGGGACTTATAACATAAATTATGAAAAGTGGGTTTTACTTCTGTGTGCACCTCAGCCTACCCCTTCCGGGATAGAAGGCGTTATGTTATCAATCAATACATAGTATAAAACAAAGTCGCTTTCGCTGTATGTCCGTATGTATGCTTAGATCTTTAAAACTACGCAACGGATTTTGATGCGGTTTTTTTAATAGATAGAGTGATTCTTCGAAGCCGGGGCGGGTCGCTAGTGTGTAATATTTGAAAAAACTGCCAAACCTTGATCGGTCCATCCTCTCGACTCAAAATATTCATCTAAAAAAATAATACAGATTTTTAATGTTCAAAGGCTTTAATGAGACCTGTTCTACCATCAAAACCCTTTCGTTTGAGATCCATAATGCGTAATTGTGGAAAAAATAAAATAGATTATATTGTATGGTGATCTAGATTGAGAGTGTGTACCAAATATCAGATCGATCTGTCGTCAGGAAGGGGGTAGAATAGGCATGGCGATTATTTTTTAATTTATTGTCCGTCTTTTAGATATTTTAAAAATATTTGATACGTATTTTTTCTTTTTTCTCGTATCCAAAAAAACATGTAGATATTTTGCGTTAGAATGACGCGTGACGTCACAATTAGGTACGATTTCTCCGTAAGTGTGACGTCAACACCCCCCACTCCCTAACTTTAATGCGGAATAACTACGTATTCTTCTGTTAATTTGATAAAACAAAAAATACGTGTCTGATATTTTCGTGCGATCTTAATGACGGACTAATTACTTTTTTGATTTTATTACCCTGTCGACACGCCTATTCTAATTTCTAAAGATACGAACAAACAGGGCAGGCTTAATGAAACCGTTCAAAAAGGAATATTATATGTTAATGAATATTATATGTTAATGAATATTATATGTTAATGTTATGACAGCCTCATTGGCCGAGTTTCAAGTGCGATTGGAAATCAAGGGGTCTCGGGTTCGATTCCCGGGCCGGGCAAAGTATTACTGGGTTTTTTAAAAATCTCAGTAGCAGCACGGAGTCTGGAAATGTGCCCGTTATATGGCAATAGGCTCACCCCCTATTACATGGGACTCATAATATAAATAGTGAAAAGTGGGTGTTACATTGTACAGTGGCATAATGTACACCTCTACCTACCCCTTCGGGGATAAAAGACGTGATGTTATGTTAATGTTATGTTATTATATGTTAAATTATCCTTTTTCTCTTATATACCAGTGGCTAGTAGGTCAAGCTACATGAATCTATAAAAAATCATTGGATTTTCGACCTTACATCTAAACAATAAAGTAATAAAAAATCTTAATTTGCCATGCACGCGTGACGAATTTCTTGTTTTATTATTATTTGAAGAAGGTATAACTTTTTAATTACTCTGAAAATAAAATATAGTAAAATTTTGTACTAACCGCTGTCTGAAAGTTAAAAAAGAACTATAAATAACATACCTAATGTGAAATAATTAAATAGGTAATATCCGAATACTGAAAGGCTGCCTCGTTGGCCGAGTGGTCGCAAGTGCGACTGCCGGGCAAGGGGCCTCGGGTCGGGCAAAGTATTACTGAGTTTTTAAAATAGTCTCAGTAGTAGCACGAAGTCTAGAATTGTGCCCAGTATATAGCAATAGGCTCACCCCCTATTACATGGGACTCATAACATAAATAGTGAAAAGTGGGTGTTACATTGGACAGTGGCATTAAGTGCCGTAATGTGCACCTCTGCCTACCCCTTCGGGAATAAAAGGCGTGATGTTATGTGTATGTGTGTACTGAAAGGCTACTCAATATTTAGTTGTGCTTAAACATCATGCCGTCTCTGTCATTTTACAAAGAATTTGTAGAGACAGCAATATACTTGAGCGCGACTTAATATTGAGAGTATTTGGACAAGACCCAATGCCGTGTCAATTGATTTACGACCATATTACAAATACATAAGAAACTAATTAAATTAACTTACATGGAAAGAATCCTTCACTCACTGAAATTAAATAATACTTATTTTATTCTCGTTACATAAGTCATAATTTTAATTCTATTTTACTATTTTGTAGTATAAAGTATTTATAGTTATCTACTTTTTATAACCTCAACTGCCAAGCAAAGCAATGTAGTGCTGATGCCGATTCGAAGCCGCGGAGGACTTCACGGGTTCCGGGGCTTCGCCTCGAAGGGCAAGAGAAGGAACGGGGTGGTTTTTAGTCAATAAGAGTCTGACACTCCCTCCCGCCTCACCCAAGGTGAAAGGAGTATTTGGATGATTTTGCCCACTCAAAATAAAATTGTCTAGCAAGAGGTCTCGTGTTAATTTCCCAAGTCAAAATAATGTTGAACTTCGGTGTTCAAAATGCTCAATAATATCGCGGAAGACTCGTACTCAAATCTTCATCATCATCACTAGCGTATAAATGCCCACTGCTGAGCAAAGCCCCTTCTCACACGGAGAAGGTTTGAGCATTAATCGCCACGCTTGCTCAATGCGGGTTGGCGATTACAAACTTATAATTAAAAATTATACCTAAGCCCAGGTTTCCTCACGATGTTTTCCTTCACTGTTTGTCAGTGGTGTCTAGATAATCTTAGACAGTACATAAAACTCGGAAAATATCACATTGGTACTTGCCGGTGGTAGGTTTCGAACCCGCACCCACATGCATGAGAAGTATGCACGACGAAGACATACTAGATTAAGTAAAAAAATCGCGGGTACGCCGCGTCGTATGTCGCGAAATGCTGCTCATGAATATGAGCCTTTAGCATGGCTTAAAACTAGTCGAGTATCTCGTCAAATAATTACGTGAGTAAGTTGAAAACCATAATAATAAAAGACTGTGATATTAGCTAATTGACTTACATGTCGGTATAGGCAGAGATGTGGTACATTTTGTAACTCTTGACACTTTCAGATCGGGGTTTAAGGTAATAAGGTCTCCTTCCCCACTATCCTGATCTAATAGAACCAAAGGGTTTTAAATACAAACTAAGATATTGAAAAAAAACCTTAAGGACGACAGTAAATAATACAGTCTGGAGCTGACTAATCCCCGTTGACGGCGCCCGTCCACGAACATGACACATACACCAGCAACGCTCAACTCAACCATATTGTAGGGAACCGAAAGATTTTTACACATGACATTGTCTAAACGCACCACTGTCTCGATTGTGTCATTTATTTAATAACCATAATGTATTGAATAAATATTTTCATGTTAACGAAATGTTCCATTTTGTTTAACAAATGACGAATAAAAAAGTCCTCACCAGTTCCCACTGTCAATGAACAAACATTTTATAATTATTTACTTATTATATCAAGCTGAAGAGTTTGTTTGTACGCCCTAATCTCAGAAACTACTGATCCGATTTGAATAATTCTTTGTGTACAATACTTCTGTGTACAATAGGAACCGAGCAAAGCGGCAAATTAAAATACACTTACCAGACTCTGTTGTCAAATAAATACAGCATTTTAAAAAATATTGTTAAATATATTGGCTGTATAACCGCCATAAATATAAGAAATGATGTGTTTCTAGTGAAAAAACTTACGGTTTAATTCCCTTTCATTTGCTGTCAAGATATATAATAAATTAAGCCAAAATATACAATAATTACATTTTTAAGGAATAAGCCAGTAAACGAACCGACGGATTACCTGATGTTAAGCAATCGACGTCGTCCATGGACCCCCGAAGCACCAGGGGCGTTATAAGTGTGTTACCGGCCTATTGGGGGGATTAAGAATTTGAACAAACAACGCTTGCGTTGCGTTTCGTCGCATGAGTGAAGTTGTCGGAGGCCCAATTACTCCCCTCCCCAATTTCCACAATCCCCGAATCCGGTAACGTACTTATGTTTCGGGGTGCGGCTGGTGTTTCGGGGATCCATGGGCTAGGCTGATTGCTTACCTCCATGTAATCTGTCGGCTCTTATAAAAAAATATGGGTACCTGAAAATACCGTTTCATTACGGGCCACTGTCGAAAAATAAAATCGATTAAAATCGACGACTTAAATACAATAACAGGAATGGTGACGACTCGTCTAATCGTATAACTTTTTGGAAATGTCAAAAATTATTGCAACTTTTGACGTCACAACTTTTTGCGTCAAATATTGTTATAAATTATTCCCAGGAGCTGTAACCAAATGCCATTTAGCGCTTGTTTACATGTAGAAAAACGAAATTATATGGGATTGACGTAAATTTTGACACATGTCAATGTCATCCTCATACATTTAGTTTTCTACTCTCTCTGTAGACAAGCGCTAAAGTGGCGTTTGGCTAAAGGCACAGATTTTTTGGAAATGACAAAAATTATTGCAACTTTTGACGTCACAAA